TCTTGTATATGGGGATAATCAGTGACTTACACCAACCCGATGGGACTTCTTCTGATTCCCAGACGCTGCCTAGTACCTCAGTTAATCCAGACAGTAAGCTGTCTCCACCGTACTTAAATACCTCTGGAGTCATTCCATCAGGTCCCGCTGCTTTGCCTAGTTTCAGATTGGTGACAGCTTTAGTAACCTCAGTTAGGGATGGAGGACCTGTGTCTATATCCCATTCAGGGAGGTGTTGGATGCTCGGAAGGTTGAGCGTGGCTGTGGGCCAATTAAACTGCTCCTCATAATGCTCTTTCCAACGATCCAGTCGTCTATCCTGTGAGCTAATTATAGTGCCATTTTTTTCCGAGATTGTTTCACTAATGATTTGTCTTCTCCCACCCGTTTCCCTGATGAGTCTAAATAGTTGCCTGGTGTTGCCTATCCTCGAAGCTTTCTCCATCTCTTTGGCTTTTGTCACCCACCACTGTTCACGGTCCTTGCGGAGACTTTTCGTAAGTTTCCTTTCGTGCAGCTTTCGCTCCTCATTGAATTCGGAGCTCGCCGGAATAAGTCTTCTAGCATCTATCAGTTCGGATGGGGCAGTCGAAATCCAATGGTTTTTACCCACCTTTGGATTTACCTTATTCACAGCTTTTACAGCTGTATCTATGGCTGCCTGGATATTTTTCCAAGCTTCTTCAGTGTGAGCACACCTGTCGAACACAGATATGTCTTTAGCTAGTTCTTCCTCAAATACGGATTTAGTTTCCTGATCGAGCTGGGGACGTGATGGTTTTACCGCCAGCTGTTTCCTACGTCCGTTCAGTCGTAAGCACACACGAGCGCGGACCAGTGCGTGATCGGTATCTACACACGTGTTCCAAAAGGAGCGACAATCTCCTACCGACCCACGCCAACGATAGCTTATTGCTATGTGGTCTATTTGTGTCCAGCGTTGGTTTGATGAAGGGGGTCTCCAAGTCAAACAGTGTCTCTCCTTGTGTTTGAAGTTAGTGCTTAGAAGAAACAAATGATGTACAGATGTATAGATGTCGGAAAGGGAGAGTGTAATTATAGGGTTAATAGGCTAATACAAAACCTTAAGTAACATAGTGTGAAATTTAATAAGATAGAATTCAATACTATAAAAAAATTTGGATTTAGAATGACAAGCGGAAACAGATTAAAATGAGTATAGTAATGAGAGAAAGGTATATAGATTAACAAAATAAATAAAATAAATGTCTGTCCCTCTGCGGTCAAGGCTGAAGTAGTGATTGTACATACTTCCTTTGTAAATAAAGGTCTGGCTTAAATTCATGAATAACCAAGGCCTCCGCTATCTTTAGAAGTCTGTAACGAAGAAAATTCGGCAAGTCAACACGGATTCAGTAGATGATCTTAAAATCACGGTCAGCGTCGGTAGAGTAACAGGAGTCGATCAAGAGTTCTAGAGTATAGCTTCGCACAGCCTTCCTTTCTCCCTTATGAAACCAAGCTGGCATATATTCTCATATCCTTGGGGAAAGCGTTCTCTGGATAAAGCCAATGTACCTTGCTCCACAACAGCATGTCAAGTGATAGATGCATATGGAGGCGGTCACAAAAGGGAGCTTATATTTTACAGCGATAGAGGAAGACTTCAGGTTGGTGAGGTTCCGAGTGAAACATTGGGTTTCAACAACACATGTACACTCTCCCCTATTCTCTGCTGTTCTCTTCAGCTGGATCCACGGTTGCCCATAATCTCTTATTTTCTCCAACTCGCCCGATCTCCCCCATATCACTTTCGCACCGACGACCCACTCGTCGTTTCCCATTGGAATTTCACTTAGCGAGATGTCATTCGACAGTCTCCTCGATGTGTACCCTATCCATCTCCACTTTCATCTACATATATGTTGAACGATTGGTTCTTGATCAGGTTTTTCCCATAGTTCCTTGTTGCTAATCCTTTCCGGACATTCGATCTTTACTAGGGAGCCAGAGAAGTGGGCAGCCTTTGATGAAGTATGTAATATGTTGCAAATGTGACACGCCCACCAAGTTTCTGACCCATATAGAAGAACTGACTGACTACACTTTTGTGTTGAAAACCCGTGTCTTGTTGTTTCTGCTGGCTGAGTGCAGAGGATTTCCAAACTGGTTTCAGGTTGATTACTGTGTATCTTACCTATCCGACTCTGGCTTTGACATCTTCATCCGCTCCACCTGTAGTTGAAAGTGTGCTTCTTAGATAAGTGAAGGAAGTAACTTGTGTCAAATTTTTCCAGCAGTCCCCATTTGTGTGACTTATAGCCTGATACATAAAAAAAATTTCCCTGGTTAACTGAGTTCGAACTAATAAAAACGTATGAGTTTACTAAACTAAAACTCACCGTATAACATGAATCCCAGATCTAAAACCAAAATCAGAAAGAGAAGACGGAAGGATATATAATGATGGTTATTGAATTTATTTAATTCTGAATTAGCAAGTTGAATTTAAATGTTTTACAGATGGAAATGGTTTTGGCGTTTTTATTTCCCTATGAGTTAAAGACTTGGTGTAAAACGTGGATCAATTCGAATTTAAAGAAACCTTAATTACAGATGACAATCTAGAAGGAGCAACACATTAGCCTTGTTCAGTTATTGTATTGTGGACGACGTGACTGAAAAATAAGGGTATCATTATGATGGTAATATTTGTCGAAAACAGATGACAGACATATATTCCAAATAGGTGGTAGTGTGCGCTTTCTGAATTGGGCTAATAACTAGTTCAGGGACTTAAGGTAAGTTAAAACTTCTAATCTAGATTCCCATATGAAGAACAGACACGAATCACCAACTGCCCATCACACAATATACACTAAGAATCAGATGCTCATCTAAATTTGGGCATTCTGTTTCAAGCTTACAGAATCATTTAACTAGATACCACACTACGGTCAGTGTTGTAGATTTCAATAATTTATCTTGCGGTGAAATGTACTACTAATACTATTACCGCTACATATGAAAAAAGCATAATAATAAATGACTTTGAGTAGGTATGTTATAGACGTCATCCCTGCAGCTTCTTCGACTATTGCAAACGTTTATTTCCCGATACAATTGAAAAATGAAGTCGAAGTAAGAAAAGTCCAGTAATACAGCATCTAATAGGTTTCAGACACGATAATGGTGATGTCAAGTCATCCACTGTTATCAGCAGATAGATAAGCAGAAACGCGGTTACAATAGTGAACGCTTGTGAAATTGAGTTAATAATCCCCGTCTCTGTGTACAAAAATAAGTGGAAAACCTGCCATCGTAATGTCTTCAGCTTCGTCAACCGTCGTCATCATTATTTAATTTAATTGTTTCAATTAAAACTGTCTTCCGTAAGTGATACTGTCTTAACTTGTTTCACTATTGTTATTCACTTTCCAATTCTCTCTCAGACAAGTAGTGTTGTAACTGCACGTTAATCCTCCATAATATTAATATTCAACGTCGATTACCTCTTCAACCGACTGTTTTTCTCAACTTGACCCGTGATACACTTTCACCTTTCATTTTCCCAATTTTTGTTCATTTAAGTAGTCATGTGTGTAATTCTCATGGTACAATTAACACTGTATGTACAGTACTCAGCTAAGTTGTAATTAAATCTGATAGATTTACTGAATTGTGATCGATTAGCATTTTTTGTTTGTTTTTACCGATTATGGTGGCTGGGACTTGCGTTACACGTCCCAATTCATCATTTTCCTTGACACGAGATATTAACTGAACTAAGATTAAGTTGAAAACAAGTTAGAAGTGGTCAGACTGAAATATGATGTTCCCGATATGCAAAGATGTGTATAATACCTACATGGAATCTTAGAAATACCAAAATCCAATAATTGGGAAGTGTTGGGACCCCGAACGATTCACTTCTGTGAGGGGTTTTGTGCTGATTAGTCACTTGGTGACAAACTGGCTAAAATATACGATCAACAGAAAACGTCATTTGGAAAAACGTGAAGACGTCCCTGGTCTTGGTCTAGAACACTCATTTTTAATTAATGATTGCTCTAATTTAAATAAGCGGAGTGACTATAGAGTTATTAATAAAAGTGCCAATGCCTCCGTGTTAAAATTTATTTTAAAGTGGTAGTAACTCCACACTTTATACTACGAGATGGATATATACTATACTATAAGATGGATAGGCTTCTCCCATTATAATAGTTCACCTTACTTTGCATCCTGGAGGTATGTAGAATAATACAGATGTTTCCAGCTTAATTGAAGTACTTAATTATAAGCTCACAGATATCAGAAACAATTCAAACAAAGTAGTGGTGCTTTATGCATAGACAATATCAAATGGGGACAATAAAATGGAGCTGAAAAATAAAGAAATCTATCTTAAAGTGCGAAAAACCATGCACTGTGAATCACTCACAAGTAAACCACTGCACTATGCGTAGTTAGCACAGTGGATGCTGACGAATAACAATGAATTATTTAGTAGCCGGTTATTGAATGTTAATATCCTCTTAACAACCTTCAGATAATTCATGCAAAAACTTGCGTAAACCTTTTATAAATCTTATGTCATAGTGAAATAGACTAAAAACAACCCTTATTATAGTAAACTGACAACGACCATAAACACTATCAAACATGATATTGACAACTTACGTGAACTGAGATGACGAACAGCAATATTGCTGGGGTGGAACACCACAACAAAACCGAAGCTCGTTGTCGAAAGAGCTAGACTTTGTATGAAGCACTGAGGGACACACGAAGTATTCGTAACTCTCATTATATATTACTTTATGAGATTGACAAACGCCGTAACGATCTACAAAATGTCCTATATTGCTACCAGCAAAAAGACATACTTACACAAAGAGTCGATGCTAGATATCTGAGATCTCAGGAAGCTTGGTATGTAGACGAAATCTAGAGATTGGAATTCACCATACAAGTATTCCTTCTGAATATTAGTGCTACAGCACATGTGGAAATTAAACACAGTGAACTCAACTTACATCCCCCCATATCTGAGGAGGACTTCCTGTGGAATAGAGACACCTGAAATCCTTTCATCCATGAATACACGATGTTATGCAAACTCAAAAAAAATTAAATAGGAAAACCGCAACCACTACAATACATTTTATATTATGCAGTTATGCAATGGAACATGTAAATTTAACTAGTAATGTCTCACAGAATTCTTTTTAGTTTTCAGCAAACAGTATTGAAGTGAAGTAATCCGTATATCGTCTCTCACTAATATCTAATTACAGATTTTCAAATAAGCCTAAGAGCCTTTCCATGGTAGCATTCGATGTTCAATGTGTTTCTGTTGCTTTTATGTGAATAAGTGAAATTATATAATGCAGTAATCAAAAGAATACCATTGAAAAGAGAAAAAACCACAATATGGATTTGACTCATAAATTTAACACAGGGAGATGAGGAGTATGAAAACATGAACAACGTGAATTTCATATTTTATCCAATATCCACATAGAAGCTAGTCCAAACCGAGCTGATTTCTTTGTGTCTGCCTCTTGGTTGCAAGTTCCAGACCTGTCATTTTATGTCATTAATCTGCGTTGACAGTTCAGATATGCTGGCCAAATCTTCTGAACGTCTTGCATTCATAGCCATACTGCACCTTATATCCCGCGTCTCAGTTGGCAGTGACACAGCAGCTCCATGCTTGAGGCGTGTTGGCAAGCCGTGGTTCTCACTTCAATATTTTCTGAGAGTTTTGTTGCTCGTTGTTCCAAGCATATATGTGCTATCAGTCGTCGGGTTAACAGGTGACTGAGTTCGTGGCTTTTTTATATCATTAACCAAAACCAATTAGTGAAAGAATTATTGGTCACGATTGTGGGACTGGAGAAACACTTCTGCGAGTCTCACAGCAAAAACAGAAATATACAGCTATCAAGCTGAGATGTGAGGCAAACATTAAAAGTACAGGGGAGTGAGAGATAATCGGTCACGTGTGTATTATTGGGAATTCTTGGCTCTATGCTAATTGGATTGACTTCTATGTAGGCCGGTTTCAGACGGTCAGTGCATGCAGAGCCTTCGTAGTCTTTTTGTTTGGGACAAAGAATTAACCATACATTTAATGGCTCTATATGGTCCATCGTATAGTGGTTCCAGGTGGCAACGCTTGGCGTGACGACGAACAAATAAATGTGAAGAAGCTTTCAGACATGGGTGAGCAAAAATGTCTATGGACTGTGATTAGAGGGGGGAATATTTAACTGAACTCGCTGCGTTTGTAAGCCTGATGATTCACAAGGCGTGATCTACCGCCAGTGGGAAGCTAGAGGGAGAAACAATCTCACCTGGCGTTAGTAGTGTTGTGCCATATACTGGCCCAGAAGCAGTACAGCCAGCATCAGCCTCCAGGTATTTGGTATGCCTTAAACAAGTATCGACGGCGATTTAGTCCAATATGCATTGTTGACAACTGATAACCCAGCCTTCGACTGTCGGGGTAGACGTTCTATCATACCATTAGCTTGATGATGACAGGCCGTTATTCTAAGGCGCATACAACCTAGGACTTTGGCCAAGGAGAAGGAGAAGCCACTTTTGAATTGCCGCCCGCAGTCGTTTGTTATGGAGGATAGCCATCCAAAGTTTACGGTCCATCGTTCGATAAAGACGCGTGCGATTGTTTCAGCAGATACATCCTTGATGGGTACTGCTTCAGTCCATCGTGTGAAACGGTTGGTATATTTTAAGACATAGGTGTATCCATAAGAATATGGAAGGAGTCGAATCGGATCTACATGAACGTGTTAGAAATGGGACTCAGGGGTAAGATGCCAAGAGGGCATCTGGTGTGTCTATGTACTTCGAGCTTTTGGCAAGCTAAAGACGCATGGGCCTATTATCTCGCTTTTTCATTGATACCAGGCCGACGAAGCTGGCCAGTTACAAGCTTGTTGGTAGTTCGAATACCTGGGTCTGACAAGCCATGCAACGTATTGAAGACGTTACAGAGTTAACTTATAGGTAGGATGCGGCGGAGTGTACTCGTGGAAATTTCGAACAAAATAGTGTTTCATCCTACACGTAAGGTTTTCTCGGCTGATTTCAGAGTTGTTTTCGACAACTGTTGAAGCTCATTATCTTTCTTTTGAGAACGAGCCTACAAGAGCTATTACGGCTTAGGGTAGACCTCAATTCTGGACTCTTACAAAACTTCTTCACCATTTTATGACCTTATCTGTACTCTGCTTAACGCGCAGATACTGACGAACCGAACTAAGGTAAAAAGACTTGATATGACAAGTGCATCTGGGACAGTTATATTTTACACAAACGAAATATGAAATTTCATAAATTAAGAGGTTGTACAACTTATCTGCTGACGTCACTGGAGATAGGCTCAGAGAGTGTGCAGAATGAAAGCACAACAAGAGGGCGAACCAATGAACATACGGAAGAGTCACAGCTCAAAAGATAAAAGTGTGCCAAGCGATGGGTGCGCGAGTTTAAACAAACGTTCAAGGGTACAATGTGCACTACAAGCTCATTTCGCCAGATCTATGTCAAACGCGCGACAAGGCATCTTTCACAGGGATGCTCACTCTGGATTCATGGTGAATATCCGATCTAAACTGTGAAACGCAGTCCAGTAGTCGCGATTGTCTAGGTGGATGCTTATCCGAAGTTGAGTTCAGAGACTACGTCAGAGGTTTGTGGTCAGTGAAACTTATAAATTCCCGCCCCTCCACTGAATGTTAGAAATGACGTATAGATCAGGACATTGCCAGAAGTCCTCTTCTAACTGTAGACTTCTCGAGAAAAAGGCGAGTAGTTGCCATTCTGTGTTGACAAGTTGTTGCAGAACTGCTCCGATTGCAGTGTCTGATGCATCGACCGAGATAATTAACCATGGTTTTGATATAAATGTGTGGCATCGGCAAGTCTTCTTATTCTGAAAGCATTTTGTTATCCCCTCGAAGAAGGTCTGTTGATATCTGAATCAGAGAAGCATAGTTGAGAATAAACCATCGGTAATAACTTTCCAAGCCGTTAAAAGTGCGAAAACCTTTCACTGTCTGTTGCCCTGGAAAGTTCAGTATCGCCTCGACTTTACTAGCCATTGGGCGAATACCTTAGCGGTCAATGGTGTGACCAAGAAAGTCGAGTAAGTCAACACCTATCTGACTTGAATATGATGATTACCCCATGTAGGCGTAACCTTTCAATTGCCAAGTTGAAGTGTCTAATGTGGATTTCCTCTTCTGGACTGAGAATGAGGTAGTCGTCCAAGTATGCGTATACAAAGTCAAGACAGCAAAATAATTTGTCAGCGGAGAGTTGGAATGTTTGTGCTGCATTCCGGAGGTGGAGCGGGATACGTAGAAATTCAAAAGGTCAGAAAGGCGTAATTATAGCCGTTTTAAAAATATCTTCTGGTGCCATCGGGATTTGATTATACGCTTTAATCAAGTCTGTTTTCGTGGAAACAGTCGCATCAGGTGCTGTTGCCGTCAAGTCGTTTGTGTGAGGCAATGGATAGCAATCAAGGGTTTTCTGGAGTTCAATAGCCGGTAATCACCAGTGGGTTGCCAACTGTTGCTATCTTTTTCAGTATCATATACAGTGGAGATGCCCATGGGCTATTCGATGGCCGAATGATGCCAATAGTGAGCATATGTCCGAACTCATTTCTAATGAGTTTTAGTCTGTCAGGAGCAAGTCATAGTGCTTTAGATGTCACGGGTTGTCCAGAGGTTCTGGTGTGATGCATTGCTGGTTATGTACAGTATAACGTTAGGTGAGCGATTAAGTTCCGGATACTTATCAACAGTCGGCTGGAAAGTTGGACAAAAGGTTACCCTCTTCTTAGCAAGTGACAAGGTGCGGCCTACGTAGGTGAAGCCTTTGACAGACAGTCTAATGATGCTGTCTATCATTCTATGTCGGCAGACATATACGAGTAGATCTGTGCCTATGAAAGGCATTGTAACGTCAGCAAAATAAAAAATTTACTAAATAAGTTTGCGTAAACCCACTTTCAGACTTATGAACCTCCTACCAAAGGATGCCGTAGGCTTTCTAATTACAGCCTGTAAGTTTAAAGTAGCTTTCTTCTGTCTATTTGCCTGTGAAGCAGGAAGGACGCTGATTTTGACTCATGTGTTGACCAAGTACCTGGTATGGTTGACTACATCATGGATGTAAGGCAGACGACTACCGCTACCGGCGACGGTTGCCGTTAACCCGTGCCGGTGGGATAGTTTCCTAATGTCTTCGAGACATTGCCAAAATTCCAGGTTTTCTGCGGCATCTCGCTTCCTGTTGTGATACCATTACCAGTTAGGATTTTTTAGTGAACGGGACCACTTGAGTTTCGCCGTTGATGGGAGTTCGGGAGGCCGAGGAGAAATTACAGGGATTATTTCATACAAGTAGTTGCTGGATGGAGTTCATAACTATATCAATACAGTGTCCGTACTCGAAGTCTGTTTAGCGACTAAGCATATTTGAGTGACTGGCTGTTGTGTTATTTCTAGAATTTTATCGGCACCTTGGTGTGACACAAGAACACCCTCTACCCACTATGGCAATTTGGATAAGAGTCTCTCATCGAACTGATGTTGGTCGATAACTACCCGCATTCTGGTTCGCTGGTAACGTAATTTCGACAGAAAAATCGAACTACTTACAATTTGTAAGCAACCTCCAGTGTACAGTAAAATTTTCCAAGTTTTTGGGTGTTGGGGACATATGACACCACCCTCCACAAAGGATACATTGGAGCGACCCCTAATCGCAGTGCAAATGTTTCATTGCCTATTATCTAACGCTTAGCGCTGCCTGGAACAACTATCCATACAGATGGGTGGAGTAGTTATGTTATAGCCAGCTATCAACCCTGAGCTATATTCATCACGTCGTCAACTATACAAATGATTTCATCAATCCTTTCGATGGAACTCGCGCTAGTTATATCGAAAACTTTTGAAGTCACCTCAAAAACGGATCAGATCTGTGAATGGATTAAGAAATGCAATGATATGCAGTTATCTCGATGAGTTTATGTACAGGGCTTGGTTAAACATAACTATGAAGACTGCTATGAAATATTGGGGCTTTCGGGGACATATACGAGAACGTCATTCTTTATCGACCACATACAAGGCAGCTTTCGGTTTTTACGCGCGTTTTCGACAAATCCAAACAGCAATGATGCCAATGACGCGACACTAAACTATAACAGCCGGGATGTTAACCTTGAAGAATTTATGTAGAGAAATTGGTTTAGTCTTATTATGAATACTCCTGTGAGGAATTGGAATTTTTTACCGAAACATATACAGAATACTATGATATGTAACCATTTTTCAACATTGCATTACTTTCAAATACAAGTTTACTTCGAATTAAGCACTTCCACTTCTGACAAATCTAATTGGTCGTGTTACTACTGTTGCTGGAACACAATCGCATTGCAACAGAAGAAGCACAGACTCATTGATTTCAGCTAAACGGATAATTCTGATGAGTAATCCTCTGTTACTGTCTGTAGGTTCCATCTGAGCATATAATACATATATGTTTCTCCATAAGTCTAAAAAGGTTGAAGAAAAGCATCATTACCTTGAGTAGAAAATGTGTGGACTTGTGGTGAGAGCTGGCTGCAAGCCAAAATTGTAGACAACAATTTACGTTATTGTTACGTCCCAAGTCGGGATCATTAGAAAAAGAACGACAAAGCTTAGCCTTGAGGAACTCATCACCCAATCACAGCAGACTTGTGGAAATCGGATTCGCAGATATAAGGCTTAACTTCCTGAGAAACGGTCGCGAGGAGTACAGAACAACCTTCAGCAGGAAAACAACCAGCCAGTAGACGTTGCTTCTCCGCTGACAATAATGTAAATATCTCTTGATTTCCTCAATAAACGATCTGTTGTCTGGCCTTTACTCTCTGTCGTTACAGTCTAAATAAAAAATTTTCCAGATGACTAACTGATAAGTAATAACAAGTAGTCACTTTACATACAATAAAAGTAGCTAAATAGTTTTCATCCAACCTAAGTGGCTTCACAATTTATTGTTGGTCGACATTTAGTAGGTCCATCGAAGCATCAGGAAGCAATAAAATTATTTCATAATGAGTTTTGAATTAATTCCTAAAGCTTCAACAGGAATTTTGATACCAATGATAACGGCTTTACGATACATAATAACAGCAGTAGTAATAATAATAACAGACTTCATATTCATAATGCCTGCAATAACAACAACTATAATAGGTATTATTAGCGCAACGAATTCATTATTACCTTATACAGACGTGTACTAATAATGCAATCATATCAACTAAATGCATCACCTAATCTTATGAAGGAGGCGTTCACTTACTTTCACAGCTGTAATCTCGCAATAGTGATGGAGACTAGTTTATTCCAACTGAATTCGACATTCAATCTGAGGGTGAACGGAGACCCAGTGTATTTCGACTAAAAACATGAAGCCTACATGTATTCCACCGCTTACTGTAATGCTTGATGCCTACTTAGTGACAAGAATGGACTATATACGGATTATATGCTGAGTCAAGCATACATTTTCATGATGATTAATCTGACTGCCATATATTTTGTGGTAACTCAAGGTTCGCCGGAAATTATAGTCAAGCTATAATTGAAGTTGCATGAAGTTATCATCCCTTCGGAAAGTTGGATGCATTCTTGACACTCCCGCCAAGTCCTCAGACTTTAGTACGCAACATATTCATTGAATCCAGTAAATAAATCCATTGACATATCATTTCTTTTCTGTGCTCTAACAGTATAAATTGTCAGTTAAGCAAGTGACCGAATAAAATCCTACTGGAAAATGTAAACTTCACCAAGCAGCTAAATGGTGCGACAACTCCAATGACGAACTGTCCCACTTGCGGGTACACAAAAGTACGGCTATCAACATGCCGTCAAGGATACGTCTTCATCTCACTTGCCAACTACATTCTTTTCAGTAGTGTAACAACCACCCTTTATTTTTTCAACGGTAGATTCATACTCCGATTGTAGGCCAATATTCTTTCTTTGGATGTCTTTATACTAATTGCTTTTTAAATTTTAAGCAGCACACACGCGGGTACATACATGATAGTGCCAACACCTGCAAAACCATGTCCTGATACACCGACTACGTTCAGTCATGCGAAGTGTTCACCAATAAGTGTGGTCTGTACTTGAAGAGCGATATTTAACGTAATTAGTGGAATAAGCGCTTTCAGGACGTTCAATAAACGGAGAGGGGGTTTACCTCAGTGAACTTGTAATAGCCTACAGTATTAAATTATTGTATGTGTAGAACTTTGGCACTGTGTAATTCCATATTAATTTGTTAGATGTATTATTTATTGTAAGCAATCATATGAACTGCAACTATACAAATTCTTGTGGAGTGATTTTACCCTGTGATATGTATCCACATATATATATATTTATTTGTGTGTGTATGTTGGTCTCTCTTTCTGTTTGCTCGCTTAGTCTGTGACCATTTCACTTGTATGAACTTGTCTCCTTTATTAATGTGTATTCTCCTTATATTATATTATATAATATGAGTGTTTGTTGACAGTCCGTTGCTTGGTGACATATATCCATATTATATGTGTGGTTGTTGACATGTCTGCTATATATATTTTGCTATATATATATTTCGTTCACACATTCTGTGGGAACTACTTTTATTTACTTATCACTTTGGTGTGAGACCATTTATTTTCGTCTCCTTGTATTTGGACAACAGAAGTATCATCGCAAACCTAGTGGTCTTCTGATTTCCGCCTTCTCGCGTCAGGACTATTAAATTCTCGACCAGACCATAACAATAACTTAGCGACGAGTACATAACACCCTGTCAACTGGTAGTGCCCAAGATTTTCCAAGCAAATAAGTCTGAACTCCCATTTTCGCAGATTGTATAGTTGCAACTGCTATGATTATGAATAAAAAATTGTATTGGAAACGTCAACCAGTAAATAACGCTGTCACACTATGTGATATATCTAATGAACAAATTATAATGTAAGCCAATAGTAGCATCTATGACTGAATATGAAATGCTGCCATTCCACTCCAATTCCTAATTTGTCACTAGGAATTATCTTGTAAGCGGTCCATGGTCTAAAGTAGTTGCCAAGATTATATGCTATCCTGTGAAAAGTTATCAATTCTCACGGCAGCAGACGTGGAGAATAGTCAAAGCCTGCAGGATAATATAACCTTAATAGTTGTGATCCAAAGTGTTCGCTCTATAAGTATTGGAGACTTTTAGACGTCCATTTATAATCTGATCATCCAAGTAATAATTAAAGTTAGTGAGGTTGAATGAAGTTTCAAATAAAGGAGGAGAGTGAGAGTTACCCCAGTGCAGATCCTAGTTGCTGATGAGTGCCAAAATGGATGGACGATAAGAACAAGTCTTCCCGAGGACTGCGTCACCTGAGCGTCCTACAGCACTAAGCAGCGAAACTTAGTTGCTACATTTCAAATTTTACCTACACATTTAAGATAAATTACGAAGTGCGTTGAGTGAGATTTGTGGTAAACGTTATTTACATTCAAGAATGCACAGAACTAAGAGTGCCTAAACATGACATCATCGCCAATGGTGACTTGAAATTTACATGTACATAATAAAGAGTGGAAATTTGAGCTGAAAATCTAAACGAAATACAGCAAATGATCGATAACTTCTTCATACTCTAAAACTGACAACATAACAGAGCTTCACTACACGAAAATAGCTGAATTGTTGAACAGGTTCACATTTAGTCATGTACATCAGTATTTTTCATAAAAATAACAGTTCAAATAGGAAATACAAACTTCACTACAACAGCATAAATGCACTTTTACTTGAAAATATGTAGTCAGACTTACAAAACCGAAAGTTTAAAAATAGGTCATATACAATTAACAAAATGCAGAGTGAATTCACAAACGCTTATTCAAAATGCGGCTGCAGAAATGTCATGAACACGACGGTCGTAATGAATTATCATCCGAATCGTCATTCAAATCGACTGACTGTTTACCTGAATTTATAAAAAAACAATATATATACATATATATATGATTAGTAGAAAAATTGTTCATAGGGTAGCCGCAATTACATGCAAATTGAATTACGAAAATAGTTGATAGCCGCCATTTACAACTGAACAGATGAGAAAAATGTCAATGGAAGTGTGGTTCACTTAACTTTCAAAAACCGAATGCCTGTATTTTCAATCTATTTCTTCTACTTGCATTGATGGCTGGCGCAGCAATAGAATGCTCGCCAACCACGCATGTGGTTCAGGGTCCGATCCCCAGCCGATGCACTCCTTACCTCGCTAAGCCAGCGATAAGACTGGTAAGGAGGGAAGGTTAGGTATTAGGTTAGCAACCCCATCCAGTAAAAGTAAATACCGCTGTTACCGAAGCTTCAAAGCACTAGCTTGAAACCGTATTTTCCAGTGGGAGCGTAAAGGAATACAATAAGAATAAATTTTATAGATGTATTTTTTAGTACTTGATTTGAAATAGAAATACTTATTTCTTCACCTACTTTAATTAGTTGAATATCCTGTCTTCGTAAAAATAAAAAAAGGAAAAGGAAATACCAGAGCTTAAAGCTTACACTTCTTCTTTGGCTGTACATAAAACTGTTCACGATTGAATACTTTTACTTCTCCAGACTCCAGTTGGACCTGTTAAATGACAAAGAAAACGAATTCTAGTAAACTGATGCAAGATAACAAACGTATTCTCTTCAATAAATAAAAATCTAATGATATAATAATTCATATGTAATTATGACAGATATTTTATGCATTTTAAAGACTTTACAGATTAAATTTTCATGACGTCGACAAAAGCTTCTAGTTACATAACGTTAAGAATAAAGGCATCCTCAGTGTTCAAAACCCAGCTAACACAAGCTGTTTAAGAAACCTTTTGAGATTTCCGACAACTCTGAAGTGTTACAATCAGAACCAGGTTTCCGCCTGAACACTTGACAACAGGTAAACTACCTACCTGACAGATTTCACTTAAGGATATATGGACTTATTCGTAATCATCATTCATAATAGGAAAGATAATTGTTAGAAAGGATTACACACAGTTCTATAAAAGATGATGTCAACATTCAAAAACAATAACAGTGGGTGTAGTCTGCGACGCTATATGTTTCAGCTATTCGCCAAATTTCAGTAGCAGCTCAGAAAAAGTGCATTACCTGATATAAACATTATTATTATGTGTCACTTGACATACAGCATGCCGCCCTTAGAGCCTCGAACACTGTCTCAAACACTTGAATAATAACAAAATCCTACCCAGGTTTCAACTGGAATACAGGAAGATGATTCAGTCGAAAAAGCAAGCCATATATTTGCAGAAGTCCTTGAGAAATTAAAAATTAGAGGTCTTAGGATATTCATTTTACGTGTGCGAGTACCTATCATTCTCAAAGCAAGGTACTTTTCTGGTCTATTTGCGTTCTGCCAATGATATTATATGATGAGTGATATAGGGGTTAAGTGGATAGTGTCATTAATATTATTATTGTTTCCTTTAGTTCCTAGACGAACATAGGGCTTCAGCTGCATAGTGTCAGGTCAGGAGGAAAAATCAGTCAATGAAACTGTAAAGAGACATCGATTCAGATGGCTAAAACAACTCTCACGGATACCAAGCCATTGCATTATTCGAACAACAATGTTAGTTGACCAAAGGGTCGGGTGGGAAAGAATAGGGGATCATCAAGTCAAAACCAGGCATCAATCTTTAGTCCTTAAATATTGGAGCTGTAGACGTTAGGAATCAATGCCTAGAGACTTTTGGTGATAAGGCTCGAAATCGTCGTCAGTAGCGAAGATGCATTCCCTCATGGCAATCTCCTAAATCAGTTATATTCCAGCGCTTCTCTGTTTAATTATTCCTTCTCCTACACATCTCCATTTATTACGTTTAGTTTGAATTTTTGTCGACTTTTATGTAACAACTTCGACTGCTGCAATTCTATGCAAAGTTCTACGTTAAATAGGCAGTTAATCAATGCATAAAGTTGAATAAGTGAATTTTCATGCCAACATCATTTCACTTTATAAATCATAAAAGTCAACTTACTTCCCATTGTTCAGAAGTAGTACCTTCAAATGTTCCTACATATTCTATTCCATCATCCCAAAGAACCTTTACAATTGAACCTTTTGTAGGTGGCCCATCTTTGGACCAATCAATATTCTAGAAATACAGATATAAAACAAAATCAATGAAAGTGAATATATATATATATATATATATATATATATATATATATATATAATGAAACAGAGAGTACTTGCACGATGACATGGTACTGGTGATTGATGAGTACTTCCAGTTTTCAAATGGAACCATAGCGGATTTCCATTTTGAACATTGTAATCTGTAAATTGCAAATCTGATTCTAGGTATTATCAGTTCGCCCAATTATCCAGCCAGAACGCTTACAATGATTTAGTTCTCTAGGCTGTCTAACCAAATACGCCAACCCCATTCGAGCGAAATGGTTGTAAAGTGTTTACTTAACCTCGATCTGGATAGCGAGCAGTACTGGTCGACATGAGTGGTTTCCAATCAGTGGTATACATTATCATGCAATTTCGCTTGACTGCTTTCCTTTTATGCTACCAAAAAATTAACTTACTACAGTCACAATATTTCTGGTTCCCAACTTAAACCACGGCGGATTTTCACATCTAACTGTAATTTGCAAATTGAGAATTTGTAAATGTTATGTACTCGTCGAGTAGTTAATTGTCCTAACGCGGAAAGGGTAAAATCAGAAGACCACCACGTTCACGATGATACTTGTATTTTCCAACAAGGGAAAATTGACTGTCACACAAGTGTGTGAGTGAAAGGGTACGTAGTGTACGAAAGGGTGTGAACAAGAGTGGATATAAAAGTGTACAATACAAAAGTATATACGAAAATGACTAATATACATGAACCAATAAGATAGACAGTAGATTACTTTACCATCACTGGATTCTGATTGGTTGTAATGTCATGTGATAAAAAGGTCATACATTGTTTATTTAGTTAATGGACAGACAAAGCACACATCATGTGACTGCATATCAGTAAAGAACTAACTGTTAAATATTCCGGAGGTGTATCAGATGAGAACGTTCCATCAGGGAAGGATATCCGACAGTAAGGAGGAGTTACTCTTCGAATAGCCACGGCAGGTGAAAATATAAGGTTTCTGTTTCTTTGAACCATTACGTTATCTCCTGGTGAAACAGAATCCTGATCGCGAAAACCAGGCTGTTTTATATGAAATAGATAAAATATCATCAAGTTATAATGAACAGAATGTAGGGTATTTTAAGCATGCAATGTTTTAACAACTATTGGTCACACATATTCATATGGAAACGAGAAATGTGCAGAGTTATTAAGCAGCGTTTCTACAGACTGCATACTGGTCTATTCTAACATGATTTTTTCATTTTGTAAAATTTGTGCCGAACGATTGATTGTTTCACGAGAGTTTATTCCCATTAAATAACTTCCCAGTATGTATTTTTGATATGTAAGTGGGAAGCCATTAGTACAGTATATGTCAGGAATTTCAGAATATGATGACAACCAGTTACTTTTAAAAACTGATACCATGGTAGATGTACTGTTACCACCCTTCTTTGGTTTCGTGATCTGTATTGTTATTTTGAGCTTTAATACGTCCTTTTAACTTGGCCTAAATCTATTCTCTCACTCCTTAACTCTATTTTGATATTATATATATACATTCCTAAGACAAGGCCGTGTGTGATCAGATTGTTTTAAATGTGTTGCACAAACACATTACACGATTGAGACAAATTAAGTTTTATTGCTTTGTCTAAATTCATCTAGTGAACTGTTTTAAAAATTTAAAAGTTGTTAACTACACATACTAAAAGGATTAGAAACGAATATGCAGGGGGTGAAAGAATTAACTGAAGAATAATGAGGATTTAATAAATCTAGATCACGAGGAATGAAAACATAGGCGTTATTGAGAACAACTGCAAACCATGTCACTGACAGTCTCTGGTCATTGATTTTTAATATCTTCAAGAATCTAGTCAGGCAGTCTGCACGCAACCAAATGGTTCAAACCGATAGCCGAGGTCTTTATGAATTGGTGCCACGTTTTGGTCTCACCACGACTAATTCTGTCTCAGATAACATGGATCTTTGATTAAGGAGAAGTCTTGACATGTATAATGCATCTACCTAAACTTAAGTGAGATTGGGTCAAAATTGTAACATTCATTTTCAAGTGTCTAAACTACATAACCACAGAAAACTAACGAGAATATTGTGAAATAACCAGTTCTTGAATTGTACCAGTCTGAAAAGAAGTTTACAAAGATACTTAATGACTTAAAGAAAGCATCTATGCATTGGAGATAAACGAGGTGTTGCTAGACAATGCATTAGTATACATTAGAATGAATGTATTCTAATACTAGTTCGCTCATAATTCTGTCTTTTGAATAACTTGGCAGCATGCCCTTTAACATCAGTCCATCTATGCTATAGTGTAATGTACCAAAGATTTACTTTCGATTATCAAAATATATTATGTGGAACAAATAATAAGTAGTCTACTGGTCCTGTCTTAGTGTAATAAGCAATTGAATTAAGTATTAAATTTAAAAAATCTTACGTGACTATAATTAGTTGGATGTTTACGGCAAGCGATGTAAAAGAAACGCGGATACACATCCGTACCAATGACTATCCCAGCCATCTGAGCACAAGTCACATGAAATCTAGCAGGACAACCATCATACCAACATGGAGCTAATGGGAGAAATCCTCTTCCTGGTAATCCACAAACAGTGCATTTAGAAGAAAATAATGTAGCAATTTTTTCAGATTTCGTAGTAATATCTGTTTTTCGATGATGACTATGATGATCACTATCATCATCACTACTAAGTAGATCCTTGTTATGCCGGTTTGAGAGTTTCAAACTACCGACACTGGGATATATGACAACGGTTTGATTGCGGCATAACTTTCGCGAGAAATGACTAATTACACAAGAAGAAAGAATAATGGAATAAAAAAATAAGTGAATTTAAATAGGTGATTCTGTTTGTACATGTTAGGGGAGTGGAAATCAGAACTGCGATGACACAGTTTCATATTATGGTGATGATAATCGTAATTACTATAAGCATTACCAGTATTTTAACAATAGTAATGATAAAAATAGAAGATTTATTAAAAATTTATTTATAGAAAGTTTAGAATTCTCTATTTTGTTGAGAGATGTTTACTCATCGCACAGAATCGTCAATTTAAAAAAATTATCAACTATATATCACCTAACCCAATATTACTCAATGCACAGTTACACCGGAAAGGTCATTTCAGTAATGAAAATGATCCAGATCTGGAAGACAATAAGAAATAAAAGCATATGTTGCACTGCGAACGGTCTTCAGCCACATCACCAACCATTGACTCTTACCACCTTGAACACCTCAGATTGTAAACCTATGTCTTTCCAAGTATTTTAAACCAACAGTATGGATTCGTGGATCAGTATCCTGATTTGTTTTAACCACCTTTAACTCTTTTCGCACCTACTCTTGATTCAAAGTTAACACTTTTCATCGAGTGAGATGAAGACTCAGTACGCGTACTGCTTACTTAACACCATCAGAGAGAGGTCGAATTTCACAGTGGTAAAGTAGGAGAAATAGCAAACTACTGTACAACAGATAAGCCACTAGATGAAACGTGAGTATATCTGGTAACCTCGCCAACTGCAAACGTGATTTTAGTCTGTATGCGTGGTACCTCGTCATCAGCCAATTCAAAAGAATTTAAACTTTATAAATCAAGTGAAGCACTAGTTTGCCTATCTTTAAACTAAGAGTCGATCAAACCAGTCCTGTTGTATCATCTATAGCAGCTTATTCAGGATAGATTTGAATCTAGCATAGTATCAAGGCGAAACATTTGGTCTAGACCGTAAAAACAAACGCAAATTACTAGTTAACTGGTTATCAGCTACGTTAAAACGTCTAATAAATTAGCTCTACAGGATTTCATCATGAGCTGACATCGGATAGAGAACCAGTGGCAAACATGGGAGTTCTGAACGGCTGTTTCGTTTTAGTTTGGGACTCTTCATTAGTGTGCACCCACCGGGGTTAAACTTAAATCAAATTTAACTGAAACTAGTATTCTTGAAATCAACGTACAGGAACTAAAAGTGGCATATAGTGACAGCAAACATTCAGGCAGTTTCACAGACAACAGTAATGTCAAATGACCAACATCAAAAACTAAGAAAACAACGATAAGTGTAAGATTAAACTCACCTGGCTTTGTTTTTTCCGTATACTCCACTTTCTTGGGAAGTTTGACTGCATTCCCTCAAACCATTGCCATAGCATTCCCCATAACTATTGCTGTCATGTGGTCTTTTATGTGCTAACCTTAAATTTTTGGCTATATTATTTGAATTTGCAAAACGAGTAGAATCTGACTGACGCATTTCCATAGGAAAGTTGTTTTCACAGATTGCATTACGATCATTTCTTACATTATAATACAGTTCAGCAGAATTAATGGCTGTTTTTATTGTATCTTCAGAAATAAATGCTAATCTTTGAGGTACGTCTTTGAAATGACAACCAGGAGTAGCCAGTGCGCATATTACATGGGCCCAGTATGGTCGCCCCGTATAGCTATTATTTATATTCATCAAAGCTTTCATAGCTCCACCACGCATATAACAAAACACACACGTCTGAAAAGCAATTGAAACAAGGTATATACATATACCTTTGACTTTGTTTTACATAATAAGACGTGCCATAATAACACCAAACAAATTAAGTGCGTCGACTACTGTCAACTTATTGTCGAGGGGTGATTGATATGTATCCACATATATATATTTATCTGTGTGTGTATGTTGGTCTCTCTTTCTGTTTGCTCTCTTAGTCTATGACCATTTCACTGGTATGAACTTGTTTCCTTTAACAATGTATATTCTCCTTATATTATATTATATATAATATGAGTGTTTGTTGACAGTCCGTTGCTTGGTGACATATATCCATATTATATGTGTGGTTGTTGACATGTCTGCTATATTCGCTATGTATATTTGGATCGACACTCCATTATAATTAGCCATTCATGTTAAGACTGTCTAATGATTTATTCCCACGCTTTGTCTGGAACATTCATATATATTTCGCATTCACAATCTTGTGACTACTTTATTTACTTACCACTTTGGTGTGGGACCATTTATTTTCGTTTCCTGTGTTTGGACAATAGAAGTATCATCGCAAACCTAGTGGTCTTCTGATTTCCGCCTTCTCGCGTCAGGACTATTAAATTCTCGACTAGTCCATAACAATAATTTAGCGACGAGTACATAACAGTGATATTAACAGTTTAGGATACATAATACATATTCCACTATAGACTTTCCTGTTGTTGAAGCAGACTGGGAAATTTTTAATTTCCATACACAGTATATTCAAAGTGTTTCTAGCCTGTTCCCAGAGCAGAACGAATAGAACAATACAGCGCACCGACATGGCACATCTATAGATTGGGATATGAGAACTGTGACAAAGTCATTATTCTGAGTTGCATATAAAAACCAGTATGCACTGCAGTCAACTTTATTTAAATGTAAGCATGCATTTGTAAAAAAAATTAGACATTAAACAAGTAAACAGATGCTTAAAAATGTTGAATTAGTAGCCGACGATTATCTATAGGTGATCGACGCCCATCAGTTACGTGAACTGCGGGAGTTGTACCCTCATGATTTACTCTAAACATAAAAGCGAGCAGCTCTGTGCGGCTGCACAACAAAGGTGGTTTGACTTAGAATAATCAGACGCAAACTAATTGAAGGAGTTTTAGAGTTTTATCAGTATGCATAACCTTATTTCAAAGGATAAAAGCCGCACGGTAAACTCAAGGGTGATATCTGATATTTTTTCTGTTTGAGGATAACAAAACTGAACTGCTAATTATCTAGAGAACAGTAACTTAGATTGACAGTACTTTCATTCAAGAACACCGTGCCCTTAAATCAATGAAAACAGTTGCTCTGACTTTTTAGGATGGTAGGTACAAAACAAACAATTTTTACAGCCTGCATGGGTGGTTAGGTTGTTTTACTTATACCTCCAAAAGGTAGTAACTACCAGTTGAGAAAAATTCGTAAATGTACAAATGACACACAAAACCTGAGACGTGAAAGCATATTAACAATATCGACTTACAGGTTTGCCATCTGCTTTGCAAGCATCACAAATCCAAGAAATTTTCTCTGTGACACTACTGTCTTCATTTAAAAGAGTTTCATCTTTGATACCATAGCATCTAGTATGTACTGTTAGGGAACAATGAAGGCATCTAATTATACGGCTTTTCACCGCTTGTGGAAATTGTACAGAAGAACTGTGAAAGTCATGATACGCAACCTCAGGCAGGTGTGGATCTGAGTACATAGGCAAATTTTTATCTCGATGTTCAGTAGATAAAAGTTTGGAAATATGCTGGAAAGAGTGAGAAACATGATGATTTTTGAAACGAAGTTAAAACTGATGGATAATGGAAGGTATTTCATCAAGACTTAATGTGTAAAAATTTGCAATAGACTGAGAAACGAATTGTTGAAATTGCTTTTTGGTATCCATACTTTTCAACTTAATGATATACATTTGAGATCACATCGCAGTTGTTTTTTAATGCTCACTTAGAATAAACTAGCAACTAATGTAGCTGATGACGCAACTTAGTTGGTTCACACAGATAGGCTCTGAACTGCAACTGATGAGTGGGGCTTAGTATACCACCGATGGGCTGGAACAAATTAAATGCAGTGAAAATAACCTGCGCCTTAACCCAACTTTTGGAAGTCTATGCTTTATGTTAATAAAACATATCTCCGCAAACCAATTAAACAGTGAGTCTTATGAATGAAGTAGTTAAAGAGCAATGACTGTCGTGTTTCAGAGTCTAACTATTACCAATGGATGAAGGCAGTACTATGGAGAAAGCATGAATATACATCAAACTAGTCGATGTCAACAAACCGCAGGCTACGATTCGGCTATGAACTTTTTTTCGACCGAACTTTTAGTCTGGCTAATATAGTTGAGATTCAAACAGTGAACTACATTGTAGTCCTTCGGCTTTCACCGCATTCAGTGATTTTGACTGCTACTTCGCTAAAACATAACAGTTTTTAAATAAGTTTTAAAAACATCTCCAGCTACCAGGAATTTACATGGAAATATACAGTTTCGTTTACCTGAGGAGTCCACAAAAATGAGCAAATGGCACAATGTGGTTTATGGCTACCAATAAAATTATTGAAAGTTCGTTCGTTCTGTTCATTAGCCGGATTACCACACCATAAATGATACAAATGAGGATTGGCAGCAATATGATAAGGAAGTTTGGCCTCTTTAAACTCTAAAAAGGTTAAGTGTTATAATTAATTAGGCGAAAAAGCTATATAACGCAAAAGATTTGGCTAAAGCATACATGAAGGTAGCTCGAGTTTGTCAGACTGCATTAAGTAACATATGTCGGAACAATAATTCTTATTCCTAATTCTAAAATATTCCTATTAGTTTCTTCAAAACTGCGACTGGCTGATTATTGCAGCAGTTTACTGTAGGACGTTGCATCCAGTAGATAGTCAAACAAATGAAAGAACAATCAATATGTTCAGGATTCCCCTGAAAAGTTAAGTATATATGCAGGTCCGAATAACAGGATTTAACAAATTTATGTTAAGAATATATATAACCTAATACCTAAAAATTCTCCAGATGAGATACACAGAATAAAGATTACTAAGATCAGATCAAATTTGCGAAAACATCTGAACTGACATGCTTACAACTGCATAAATAGTAGTGAAGATTCTTACACACTTATTGACAAAGACCGTGAATAACATCCTAAAGCAGATGAATGCCAAGTATTAAGAAATGTTACGGATTCGTGACTTGGAGGTCCATTAATTAAAACAAGGTGGCAGGAGCCCATGGGTGGATTGAATAAGTGTTTAAGAATAGTGGTGAGAAAGTTTAACCAAATATAAGAAATACTAGAGTTTATGTGAACACGATGAATTCTTATAAAGTAACTGTTGATAATCATTCTTTTTCTATTGATAACCACAGGTAGACAAACTTGATGAGTGAAGTTTGCGGTCGTATAGTAGATTATGCTCCAGAACAACACACTTCGAAAAACCAGTGAGAGGAACGCAGGCAGATCGATGTAGGAAATCATTTCATCAAATTGCTATGCTTCGTAAATAAACACTGAATAAGAAAGTAGAAAAAGGATGATACTGCAATAGACAAACAGGTGCAACATATAGAACTAAGTGGAAACTTGTGAAGATTATCCAGATCTAGAAGACAATAAGAAATAAAAGCATATGTTGCACTGCGAACGGTCTTCAGCCACATCACCAACCATTGACTCTTACCACCTTGAACACCTCAGATTGTAAACCTGTCTTTCCAAGTATTTTAAACCAACAGTATGGATTCGTGGATCAGTATCCTGATTTGTTTTAACCACCTTAAACTCTTTTCGCACCTACTCTTGATTCAAAGTTAACACTTTTCATCGAGTGAGATGAAGACTCAGTGCGCGTATTACTTATCCACCACCATCAGTGAGGCTTCAACACCTTATTGATGAAGATTACCTTACTTAACCTACCTAACTTCACTGTTATTTACCATCTTGCTAAATAAAACACTAGGTGTGTGAAAATACAATGATGGGCACGCTCCAATCCTTCCATATCACCTAATTTTAGCAGCTCTGTTAGCTATAAAGGACAAAACAAACTTCTGCACGGCATGGGAACTCATCTGACGGATAAGTGGGCACTGCATCTGAGCCAAAGATGATCTTAGTCATAAAGTACCAAACTAACAATATACATCTGTGATGAGTTTCAACCAATAACCAATCCACGAGGAGTGATGAAACTTGCAAAATAAGTGACGTGGTTGATGGACTAAACTACATCACTCTACCTTGAAACTAAATGTTCACATCAACTACGTAGTATGTTACATTGAACATGAAAATAGCTTATAATCAGATTTCCACAGGGTGTTTATAAGACTGAGTATTTTTAGGTGTATTGCCATCAAAATATTTTCTTGGTGGCTTCTAGGGAAGATCGAAATTTGAGATCAAACAGTTACACTGACCTAGTCTTGACGCACACCACTGGTTGTCCCCAAAACAAATGGTGATTTTTCATAAGGTTACAGAGAATTGTACAAATTGAAGTATGTCTTTTATCACATGTGTCATCAATAATCTCTTTACAGACAGACACGTCTACGACATATCTCCAGTAACAGGTTCAAATGAATCCTCTAAGTCAAGAAATATTTCCATCTATTTTATTTAGAGCACAAACTTGGTGCAATATAGGCACCATGAAGATGCGCCAAACAACAGTAATAAAAAACTACAACATATAAGGAAAATCGGGAGAGAATGAGTAAATGACTTCATCTAGAAAGGTAGCAAACATATTTGACAAGATTAAACAACATTCGTCATATTACTGTTAGAAAGGGAAGAAAGAAGGGATGTGTAGCACGCTCAGAAGTGATTGCAGTTCTTGGCAATATCTGTTAACGCTTCGAAATGCCGATTTAGAGTATCTCTTTGACCCCAACAAGGGAGTCGTGATGTATAAATGGATGCTAACCGAATACAAACATCCTTCATCCAACGACGCGCGTTTATCCCGTCCAGCCCGAAAACTAATGAACAGAGGCCGTTACGAAAGCCACTGGGGTGATAATCTTAGCACACGATCGAGCCAACTGAGCCAGTGTTTCCGGATTATGAAACTCAATGAATGATCTGCACTGTGTCCAGACTCACTGCCAAACTCCAGGATTACTCACACGATGATCCTATCGAACGCAAGCACTTCTACAGCGATAGCAATGATCGAATACGCAAATACACATTTTCAGCACATCCGTCACCCCCACAGTACATCAGTTATACTGGTAACATATAAGACAATAAAGTCAAACAAGATGAGGAAAGGGAATAACTTATGCAGGTTAACCTGGGCAACTGGATAGTACCATCGGTCCTCACACGGTAATTGTGGTCCATAGCCCGGAATATAGAAAATTTGTTACACAAAATTAATCCAAACAAAGATGAAAAGTTTAATTGCATTAACTAAATTTTAACCCCACATTAAACGTTCCAAAGTATACAAAATGTAAGAATTAAAGTGAGCTGCATGTCACGTTGCAGAGGATGAATTCAATGAAAGTAAACAAAATGTAAACGATTACAAAAAGATTTATGATTTCAACTGAAGTAATGCAGTTCACCTTAAAGACTCATGCCTGCCTTCCCAGGTGAACTCTGACTCATAAATAAGCACACAGCCATTTCATTACCTATGCACACAAAAGATGAACCTTCAACCTACTGTACGCAATTTTCGAGTACAATATTTTGCTAACTCAGTTTTAGTTTCAACGAATTCGTTTATGACTCAATGTCTGACATATATATTGGTATCTGTTGCGTCCACTACTTCCTGAAATAATTAAACGAAGAGTAAACCTTTTCAGTTCTTTAGTTTTATGCATTTAAAAGACAGATGCCAATTTGAAAAACGAAATCTCAATAAGTACTCACGTTTAGAAGAATACCGCAAGTCAATCAGGTTAAGATCACCTGGTCTGGGGAGTTTTAACTTGAACGGCGGACGTTCGACTGGAGCAGAACTTCCACTTGCGACCCTACGTAGGTCAGCCTTTAGGGATTTGGAATCTACAAAGATATGCAAGCTTTAGTGAACTGACCTGGATGAATTGTGTCTTCAGAAAGACGGTTTATATCTTTAATCATGTATGCGTCAAGAGGATGAGGTCGTGGGTTTTTCCCAAGTTTCCAATCACCAAATAGCTCTGGTTGAAATCTTCGCACAAACGGGTCATGCATATTTTCACTGTGTCATCCCAACATTTGCAAATTTTGGCATGTTTTCCATATTCTATCCATCTGGCGAGCGCAAAGTTTGATGATTCTGCTATGTTTAGACCCGTATTAAACCCACAATGGTAGGCATATGGAAAAGTAATCATGAATTCACCTTCATATTGTACAATCTAGGAGAGAATTAGGTAAAGATGTATCTAACTTTTCTAGTTGGAATACCGGCTTGTAAAAGGACAGTAGGGCTGATTAAGACACATTTATGTCTTAGGAAGCAATTGCATTTAAGGAATTCTGATCGAAAGTATTCTGGAAAAACATTAGTTTGCAAAAACAATTACCAGAAACAAATGCTTCAAATTTACGTGCAAAAGCTGGTGGTATGACGTACCACCATTTAGGAAGTCCGTAATGAAGATAATTTATGGAGTACAAATCTACATCTTCAACGTGCCAAGGAAAGGTAGAACTCCACATTCCATAATACAAATAAGGAGTATTTACTCCTGGTATTCGTACACCCTCTTCTTGAAACACACGGCTTAGAATTGAATCAAGTTTAGAAATATTCCAAACATTCAGTTCATCATCCATCAAAGTCCCACTAACATTTGCACCATACAACGGACGTCTGGAGAAGATAGATGACCAGTACATCCTTTCAAGATGATCAAAATCCCTGAAACTTGGGGTACAGTGAGTTTTAGACAATGCCAGACTCTTGAAGTTGTTAAAACTAAGACTTTTTCTAGAGGAGATATCCTGAGAGCATTGCCAATTGGAAATAAGGACAGACCTGCAAAAATATACCTCGACTACCGTGCGAAGTTTGCAATATGGGCTTGTCAACAATATATTCACCAATATCACCATATCCCTTACGTCGGCAGATCCAAGTAGACGGCGGTATTACTTTGCAAATACCTATGTGATGAGCTCCGCGGGATTCTATCGCAGAAATACACTTGCTAAAGTCCTCGAATTCACTAAGTGTTGGCTTATAAACGGGTATCTCCGGTACTGTTGATATGTTAAGCGTCTATTTTTCTAAGATTTATGTTTACTTATTTACCTCCAGCTTATCAATGATGGGAGATATTGACAAACCTTGCTCCCCACCCATTATCCTCAAGGTTGAACTTTAGTCAAAGTTGGCGGCCTTCCAATAACAGATTTATTGGTTGAGTATAGAAGGCTTGCAGCCTATGATAATCCTTTTCTAACCCTTCTTGAATGAATTAGTTGAAGTTGTAGACACCACTTCTTCTGGGAGTCGGTTCCAAGAGTTTATGACTCGATGTGAGAACCAGTACTCAACAGCAATATGATTTCTCCTTGGCTTTTGAACTTTCCTGCTATGTCCTCTAAGGTGTTCCGACCTGGTGGGAAGGAAAAGAGAGAATAGGTCAGGTCCGTAGTCATTATTTAAAATTTTAAACATTGTGATTAAATCTCCTCTCTGCCTACGGTATGACAGTGAGAAGAGATTTAAACTATCTAGTCTTTCCTCGTATGATAAGTTAGCTATGCCGTGAACCATACGTGTTGCCTTCCTTTGAACACTTTCTAGAATGTGTGAATCCCCTTTTAGACACGGACTGGCGGCCTGGATGCAGTTTTCCAGTCTTGACCTAACCAGAGATGTGTATAAGGAGGTGAACATATCTCTGGTAATTCTTGTAAAGGCTCTGCGAATCGCCCATAAGGACCTGAAACTACGTGCAGCCACCGCGCGACAGTGTGCTGTAGTTTTTAAGTCGTGGCTAACTATGACACCTAAGTCCAAGTGAGTCTGAACTGATGGAAGTGTTATTCCCTCTAGTTCGTAGGAGCTCGTGCTTGCTTGTCCAATGCGCATGGTTGCACATTTTGCCACATTGATCGGGAGCATCCATTCAACAGACCACTCCGACAATTTGTTGAGGTCCTCTTGCAACGTGACGTATCACTGTTGCCCTTCAGCTCTCCAAATTTTTAAGTCATCTGCGTATAGGACCATAGGGGAGTCGGTGAGCAGAGGTAACTCATTGATATACAGAATAAAAAGGAGAGGACCGAGAACCGTGCCTTGTGGCACTCCGCTACTTACTGCTGTCCAGGAGGAGAGTTTTGAGTTGATCCTAACCCTCTGCCTCCTATCTATGAGGAATTCCCTGAGCCAGTCTAGTAGTCTGCCTTTGATACCAAGACTTTCCAATTTCATGAGTAGTCTTTTGTGAGGTACTTTATCAAAGGCTTTACTGAAGTCTATGAAGACGACGTCAACGGGTCTTCTGTTGTCCTTTGATTTGACCCAGCTTTCTCTTGCAGTCAGGAGATTTGACAGGCATGAGAGGTTCCTCCGGAAGCCATGCTGTGCTCCAGATAACAAGCTGCTATTTTCCAGATAAGCCATGATGCTTTTCTTGATAATTCTTTCCAGTGTCTTGATTAAAGTGCTGGTGAGACTGATAGGCCTGTAATTTGAAGGGCTTTGTCTTGATCCTCCTTTGTGTATGGGGTTACTATGGCGTCTTTCCAATCACGTGGCAACACTCCATTTTGGAGAGATAGCTTGAAGATCGTGGTCAAGGGGCCGGCTATGTGGGCTGATAGCTCCTTGAGAAGCCTTGGATGAAGACTGTCAGGACCCATTGATTTTCCTGCATCTAGTTTCATTAAGAAGTTGAGCACGATGCCTTGGTCGATGTCAACGGAATCTATCCCATGTTCTTCTGATGCAGCCAGAGCTGATCCTATAGGCAGTGATGACTCCTGAGTGAAGACTTGGGAGAAGTAGTTTGCCATTGCTTCTGCTTTTTCTTGATCTTCTTCGATTGTATCTTTGTCAATAATCAGGTTTGGGACACCATTGGGTGTTTTATTCCTGAAATTCAAGTACGAGAAAATTTTCTTAGGTTGTGCCTTTGCATTTTGGGCCAGGTGTGTCTCGAACTTCATCCTTGATTGGCGGATTTCTGCGATAGCTTTATTTCTAGCAGTAGTATATAATTCCCTGGTCTCAGAAGTCTCAAGTGTTGCAAACAGGTTCCAACATTTGCGTTTACGTCTGAGTAACTTACGAATCTCCCGGTTTATCCAAGGGGGGAATGTTTCCGACCCTTTGGAACAGACCAAGGGATGAAGGGTACAGTTACTTGGGCGTAAAGTTGCTTAAATTGGTTCCATGCGGCTTCTACTTGGGACTCTGGATTGATGTACCAGTTTACTGAGTTGGCTGCTGAGACGATCGCATTTATGTCAGCTTTCCAAACGTTTGGTCGAGCTGGGGTTTTGGCCCTTGCTGCCGTTGCTGTGAACTTGAAAGTGAGCACAGCATGGTCACTTCTTCCTAACGGAGGAAGATGTTGTATGAGATCCACATCCTCACCGTGTGAGAACACTAGGTCCAGAGTTGAGGAGGAGTGCTGTGAGTCATAGCGCGTGGGCTTAATGTTGGACTAGGGCTAGCGATATACTAGATTCTAGCAGTTTATGATCAAAGGAGTTGACTGAAGATGGAGTTGTTAGGCTCGACCAGTCAACTGTTGGGGCGTTGAAGTCACCGACTACGAGACTTCGACATTTTGAAGTCCAGGAGCCTAGCTTCTCTATTAGGAAGTCGTCTGCACTGCAGTCAGGACTGCGGTACACAGCAATGAGGTCAATGTCTTGGCCTATGCATTTAAGTCTGCAGCGTAGAAGTTCGCACGACTCACTTTCGTGGGCGAGTGCTTCGATACTACGCACGGTTAAGCCTTTCTTGAGGTAGATGACTACGCCCCTCCTTTGCGGTTTAGTCGGTCTACCCTGTGCACTTCGAAGTTTGGCAGGTTAACTTCGTTGTCAGTGACATCGGGTGTGAGCCATGTCTCTGTGATAATAATTACATCCGGGTTTCCGGTTTCTATCATGTTTGCCAGCTCAGTCCTTTTATTTAACAGGCTGCGGGCGTTTGTGTAGCAGACTGTTAATTCAGATTGGTGCTTCCCCGGCCCACCCACAGAGGTTTCGGGATCATTAAACTGCGAACTCGGACAACCCGAAAACCCTTAATCTTAAGGTTCTTCTCACCGTTCCGGCGTCGCTCACTTAATTCTAGTGCCGCAGCCTGTCTTTTGACACGGTCTGCTAGGCTTAAGTCAGCGCGGACATATATCCCTGATCCTTTGAGAATATGAGAGTTGCTTAGAATAGCATCCCTCTCTTCTTTAGAGTTTAGTACGACTTTGAGGAGACGTACAGGTTCACTTACTGTAGGGTCAGGCTTTTGACCTATTCTGTATACGCTGTGTATAGTAATGCCTGATACTGTTTGTGGCAGTAGCTTGTCTAAAAGGGGCTTGACCAAGTTAAGGTCATGCTCGAATCTGGCCTTAGGGTCGAGGGCCAGTGACTCCTCCACTTTGTGGAGAATGAGAGACCTGTCAGAGAGATCGGGTTTGCTTTCCGTGACTTTCTTGCTCTGAGGCGTAAGTGCGTTTCTATCCTTCTTGGGCTGTGTAGCCAGTGTGTTATCCTTATCTCGCTTTTTGCGAGAGACTACATTACGCCATTCATTGGCGTCCTCCTTGCTAGTAATAGTGGGATTTATTTGTCTGCTGCTCACCGGTGTGGATAAGGCTTGTTCCGCCAGTCCCAGGGCGACTGGAGCTGCAGGTTTTCGACCCCTGTTGAAGTTATGACATTGTTGTTATATGTGGCAGGAAGGGTTAGTTATGTTTTTACGAGTTGATCGCGGATTGATATCAGTTAGAGAACCATTGAAAAACAGAGAGTACTGGACATCTGCTGTTTCATTCTAGTTTGGGGATCATCGACGGTACGCACCCACTGGAATTCGAGCCTAGGACCTTTCGATTACAAGGCAAGCTCGTATACCATCCAGCCATTGGGACACTTTTTTAAAAAAAGAGGACCGTGAGGCCTCCCTACTGACAAAAACTACACTCCCGAGCGCACCCGATTAGGGTCCGTCGCGAGTTTCAACCCACCGACGTGCAATGGTGAGCCTCCACCCGGGTCAGAGCTTTCTTGATCACCTTGAACCCGGCCCCAGGTAAGTTTTATTGATTGAACTTAAATATCACGTTTTGTTGAAATTCCACTTCGAAATTTTTTGTCAATAATTTTTAATAAAATTGTGTTATTTGTTGTCTGGACTGATGGTAATCAACATTTCTTGGCTAGTTATGTTGGTGTCCGCGTCATGTGCTCTTACTGCGACACACTTTTAGCCCATTAGTCGCACTGACTAGTGTTTCATGCGGAATGAGTCAAAACATCGCTATAATGAGGAAGATGGGGTAGTTGGAGGGTGATGTCATCTACATTTGGAATAGACTACCAGCTAATGTGCGCGATGCAAACACATTTCCAGTGTTCATCTCCTCAGTCACCAGACTGCTCAAAGATGGCAATGCACTTCTACATCTGACTCTTACACCTTCTTTTTCACCCTACATAGATATTTTAAGTTCTTTAAACGTGTAGTTACAACAAACTACAATTATAAATTTTAATATTATTGGAACTAGATGATAAACATTTCTACAGAGGACAGTAATCTTAGTTCACACAATATAAGAGTAAGCATAACGGGACTAGTTAGTTAGTGAACAAAAATAACCATAGTTACTAAACGGAATATATATGTATATGTTTATAAATCAGTCCTTAAGGACTACTCTTGCTTTCTTTTGCGTTGCTGTTGTTTGTCTTCTTTTTTCTCTCGCCATTTTAGCTTCCATTTGACTTTTTGAATGAGAATGAAGTATGTGGATATTTGACCATTTACAATGACAAATGATCTGCAAACATTATTGGTCCCATATCTTTCAGTTGCCTAGTTAATAACGAATTAACTTTCCCCACGACGCAACCTGAATTACATTTGTGGAATATACTCTTATACCAATGGAAAAGTATTAATTTGTGATACAACGTCACGATTGTAACTTATAACATAACTGACCGTATCTGTAAAAATAGCTTTCTTATTACCCAATTTGGATATAAATCAAAAATGAGATTCGGATTTGCACACACCCAAGATATATTGAGGAATTACTTCAAGCTTTATTTTTTCCCAAGTATTTTTAATCCATCCAAAACATACTTGGGTTTTTTTGTTAATGCGAAGTCAATATTCCTATATTCCATGATGTGCTCCATTGAATGACTGGTTACCATATTGTTCCCACAAACCAAAGACAAAAACGTCAGCAACCATGTAATTTAATCAGAAACCAAATTTATGAAATTTATATAATGCTTATCCATGCCTGTACATTTGGT